GCTGTAGGCAAGCTTTGTGGAAAACAAGTGAGCTTATATGCTTATACTAAAAAAAACTCAATATAAATATAAAAGTTAATTAATTACAGTGCCTTAGTATGAAATTGAAGAGGTTTGTTTGGTTAGGTTAACCTAACCAACCAAACGATATATCGAATGAAATAATTGAATAAAAATATCTATCAATATTTTCATTCGGTTTTTTGACAACAGGATATGAAAGTCCAAGGCGCCTTGATGAAAGTCTATACCCAGTTGGGTAAAATATGTTATAAAAATATGTCAATGAATAAGCAAACTATACTTTAATACAACATATTATCATAAATAAAACATACTGGTTAGTCTATGATATTATGCATGGTATTAATTAAATGGGGATGAGTGCCAGAAGTGGTGGCTCGCCTTAAAATTTGAGGATCGAAGTTCAAAACAAGATCATCGTTAACATATACCATAGATAAAACATACTATACCTAGACGCCTTATGACTTGGGCTATCAATTTTAATGATTCTATAATAGACTAACCAACCAACACGAGTTGGCATCTCATCACATTGTAAATTTCGAAGCTAGTTTTTCGTGTCTAGTCCATGTCCGGTGACACTGATTGCTAGTGTCAACAAAGTTTGGTTTCTATAATTTGAGGGTTAGTTTCTAGATATATTTTTTTCGTTACGGTTTGGTTATAACTAGCAGACGAGTTATCATTTATTATTAGATCGTTTTATTTATTAAACGAGGTTTTAAATGACTTAAATAACAAGAAACAAATTTAAACAAAACAAGACAGTGCAACCACTGACTGAGCTTACTATGACTTACTATGAGTGCACCCAAGTGCACAAGACAGAAAACTAACAATTAAAACTGGCTTCAGCAGATTCAGCTGTTCGACAATTAAAGATGAGAAATCTACTAAGTGAGTAGGCCCATGTTTTATCTATGCTTATCTAACAAAAAGTCGAACTTAAATATTTCATGAGATCAGGTTTTAGATCGATTCCTGGAGTTAGTTAATAATTAACTCCCTGCTTGTGTTTTTTTTTTTTTACGTAGAAGATGAAGGAGACAAAAAAAACGACGAAGAATGTGGTTGCATGAAATATTCAATCCTTGCGAGAAAAAACAAGAATACATTTTATACTTTATTTTGATGAATTTTGCATAGACAAGTTTTTAACTTCTTCAGGATGTTATAATACTATAACTATGTCAATAAATAACACTATAACTAACAATAACAAACAAACAAATAACAGGCATAAACCATTAAAGTGTGTGAGCAGCTTATTCAAACAAGTGGAACTACTACTACTATCCGCAGTGCTATCCTGATAATTAGACCAATTAGTATATACCAAGGCAAAATGTGGTTCGGATTCCACTATAAACTGGTAGGTCCCATAGTTGCCATTATCTGTATGGGCTATTAATTAACAGCTGTGTCTAAAGGAATGTCAGCCTTATAGTCACTACCTAACAAGACTACAAGATCGCGCCACTCATGCAACACTCATCTTCATTCATACATGGCTTAAAATACCTACTTTGTATGGTCACCATTTAATAAGAAAGTATTCAAGTAATTGTCCAAAATACATCAAAATATCACACTCTAACTTACAGTTTATGATGGAACGGTGATCGGGAATAGCTTAGCCAGCAAATACAAATGAAATACAATGTTAGTGTTATCATGGATAAAAACGTACATACTCCTCAAAGAGTATGTTTTATCTACGGTGTTATCGAATTCATTTGTACAATTGTATTTGGAGGCATTTAAATTAATCTTTTGGTGCAACGCTAAGCTTATGGCTAACCGGATTTCCGTGGCTGGAATCCTCAAAGTTCAAGGCTCTCAGTGCTTTCCTACTGCACCTCTTGCTGGGGCTAGCAAGGCCTGATGAATGAGGGATTCCCAGACCAAGTACGTACCCACCTGATGAGGTTTTGCTACACCCTCGTAAAACCCTGTCAATACCGTCACAGACGCTTTGTTTTATCATATAAATATAAAAGGTTGGTCTGTTATAATGAACTTTATTCTTTAACCTCCCAAGTTCTGCATTAGCGCAGCATTCTCACCATGGAAAATTCCGGTGGCCAATATTCACTGGGCCGGGGCAAAATGTTCTTAGAAGTGTCACGGCACGTGGCTGGAATGCGCCGAGCAAATTCCTCACTGAACCAAATAACTGCACAAATAGAGTTTGCCTAACGCCCCAAAAGTGACGACCGCCTCATAAAAGCACCACTTTATGAACCAAATGACGAAAAGGGAGTATGTTTTATCTATGACGAAATGCAGGCAATCCCAGACAGCACACTTTCTCCTCAGGACATCCCACGGATATTGCGACAGGATATGCAAGATATCCCATAGTGGTCCTATGGTCAACTTGGGATATCCCAGGATATCCACTGGAATGCGTAATGTCCCCGCCCGGGGATGTCCTACGGATAAGCTCACACGCATATCCGTAGGACATCCGAGGTCATCCCAGGGTAGTCTTCAGGACATTCTCAGGACATATGGAACTACTATGGGATGTCCCTGGGATAAAGTGTGGTCTGGGCCTGAACATAAAAAACACAAAATAATATAGATTTAGTATGAAAAGCTTAATTATAAGTTTAGTAAATTGATTAAATAGTTAATAAACACAAATTTTGAAGAAAAAAACGAGAAAAAAGTTTTTGGCCCTGACGGGTCTCGAACCCGGTACCTTCGCCTTATGAGCCTCGTACCTTACCTCCTGAGCTATCTACGCTTGGTGGATATGAGTGTTTTCAAGTGGTGAAAGAGTAGTCGACAGTTGCAATGGTCGCAATACTTAAAATATTTTTGATACTACCCCAGTATAGGCTATAATATGATTCTGTTAATCTGTTTATGCCTCAAGTAGTTGAATTGTTTTTCTGGTAGTTGGAGAGGATACTGGTATTTGAATATAGATTATTTAATTACCATTAGATTAGCATTGTTATAATTGATTGTTATATGATTAAAATTAGTTTTTGGATGTTTTATTAATTTAAAGTTAGAATTAAATTCATATTTCACACAACTATGATAGAACTCTAGTTTTCTTGAACTCAGTGGTAGTAATATGTCAGTAACGTTAAGTCAGCCCTTGCTAGCCACAGTATTAACAAGACATATTTTCAATCTGGGAAACCTTAAACTTTTAAAACAAATTATAAAACCTCGACATCTTAATGCGTGGGAATCTTATTTTTAGAAAAAAAAAAAAACAGACCAAAATTATTTGTTAAATAATGAAGACGGCCCAATTATAAATTCGGAATTACTGAAAATAATTACATCAAGAACAACACTGTAATATATCCAAAATTCAAAAGATTAATTTTTCTAATATTATTATTTATTTTTCCAATATCCTTTAAATCATCTGTTTTAACTTTGTTTAAAATTAATTTATTAAGTAAATATTTACTTTTTGTACTAGTGTAAACACAGCCTGAAGATGGAAACCAAGCTTCTGAAAACGCTAGTGAAAAAAACAAATTATTATATATTATTGGCATTGTTGAACATTTAAATTTAGATATACATTTCATCAGTGGTAGTATTTTTTTCTTCAGTTTGTTACCGGGACATTACGGGACATTACAGGATATCCAGTGGATTTTGTACATGTCCCGGGATTTCATGGGACATTCTGGGATATCCTATGGCATTCGTACATATCCCGGGACTTTACAGGATATCCTGAGGTTAACTTACAAATCCCGGGACATTACGGTATATTGTAGGATATCCTGTGGATTTCGTACTCGTCCCGGGATTTTGCGGGATATCCTGAGGATAGCGTACATATCCCGAGACATTCTCAGGACATATGGGACTACTATGGGATGTCCCTGGGATAAAGTGTGCTGTCTGGGATGCGGTACCGCCCGCAACGCTGATTGGCTGACGCCCCTCCCAGTGGCCAGAGCGGGGACGAGGACGGAAAACCCAGCTGAAGGCAGTACTCCAAATTATACTCCAAATTCTAAATTCATTTTGGTCGGTTGTCTAAATTCCGCATCACATTTTCCCTTTTCTAAAATGAAATCCATCAATCAAATAACTTAAAGTTCTAAATTATTGTAGGGGATTTTAAGATTGCCAATTTTCCTTTCTTAGTTAGAGCTGTAAAGTGTTAACAATTTGTAGTTGGTTGTAATTGGATTAAATACTAGTAACTAGTGTTTTAATCCAATTAGTTGGAAAGTTTAATTGTAATAAACTACATTTGTTTAAAGCTTTTAGTTTCTGCAACATCATGTTTTTTTTGCTTTCAGCCATTAAGCCTCAGCTATTTAAAAATTTCAAGGGCGTTAAAATTTTAAAATCTCATCTTAAGAAATCTTTCCAATACAGTATAATAAAAAAAACCCTGTTTCTACGATGTAAATCAAGTAATTTAACATTTTATAGGAAATTACTGACTGAATATATATAGTTAATGTAATAAATAGCCCAGAAATATAATGGAAAACGTTTTTATACTGAACAAATTATTGATACATCTTTTTTAACAATTACACCAAAACCAAAACCATAACATCTTAATTTTTAGACCACTCTTCTAGATGTACAAGAGACTTTGGGGATGCAGTTCTGTATAGGCCTATAATAGGGCCTTGATTTGAATAGTAGGAACAGGGGTTTTTTGTTTTTATAATAAATTTGAGTTTCTTCCCTATGGAGAATTTGCCTTATTGTACAAGTAATTCTGCAGAAGATTATTCTGTTGACAAGAGTTATATAAGTTATTTGTATTAAGCAAAGAAAAATGTTTAAATCAAAAAGCGGAGTTAAACTTTTCACTTCAGAATTCGAAATATCGACTGTTGTTGTAGTAGGACTCTGTTTGCCTGTGTAGGTGTATGTTAGCAGCCCGCAGCCTCTATAGCATCATCGGCCATCGCATTATTTTTTTTCGCTTTGGGCTTTAGCTTTTTAACTCTCCCTCGCAATCGCATTGGGCATTGGGCATGAACGCTTGATCGTACTTCAGAAGATAAGAACGGATAATCGAGTGTATCTATTTGTATATTTTTGATATTTACCCGAATTTAAGTTTTGACTACTTTCTAATTTTACTAAAATGGATGAGGACGAAGTAGTGGAATATGAAACTGTCGAAACGATTGAAAATGAAGAGGATTACCAATACCAAGATGAGTCAACTGCACCACAAGCTCAAGGTATGCGCTCAATGGCCATTGATGATGCTAGGACTTGATTTAATCAATGTCTGAAATGCTACATCAATTCGATATATTCTGTACTCAAATACCATGCCCTATAATCTTTGACAAAACTTAATATTTTTATAATCAGATTTAAATGTGAACGATTAGTATTCAAAAATACAATCAAACTTCATTATGATTTTTTAATTAATTCAATGTCAGTATAATAATAGCCATAGCCTACATGACTTAGGCCTAGGCCTACTTCAGCCTTTACACTAAAAACAAATTCCCCTACTGTAATTAGGCCTATCCTGCTTCTAATGGGCAACCTAAATAAGCATAATTTCTTGATCGATATTGATTGATAGACATTGTCACACTTAGTTTTGTTATTCGTGTAAACAGTCAGTAACTTGGAAACAGTCCTAAAGGTTAATCCAGTAGGCCTACCATTAACCCTCCGAGTGTCCATAGTTTAGGCCTTAATGTCCGCCTATTTTTGGCGCATTTGCAAGGTTTTATTAAAACCGATCTGAGAAGCTTAAAACAATGTTAATTCTACTGTTCTATATACCATTTTGTTTGGAAAATCATGGGCTTCAATATTATACATAAAACATAAGGAACATTTGTTTCAAAAATTTTTTTAGATAAAAAAAAATATTTTGGAAGATTAAAAAAAAAAAAATAAGTTCGCGCTCAATGAAATTGTATAAATTATAGGCCTATAAATATTTGAAAATAGCCACTTTGTTCTAAATTTTATGAGGATTACAAATATATAATAATATAAGGAAGTAGATTTGCAAATAAATAAGTTATGGGCAAAAAACAGATTTCAGTACATAGCGTTTAGCTAAGAATGCATAGCCTAACCATAGCTAGGAATCTGGCTGATAATTTACATCAATATCACTACCTACTTCTTCAGGATCATCAACCAGCCCTTCAAAATCACTCAAATCTTCTTATAATGCACCACGTATATCACCACTTTTGATTTTTAACACTAAAACAATGATAAACGTAATAAAACACATCAGTATCGGTCCGAGGGTAACCTAGCTGTTTACAAATACGCACGTCAGCTGTCTGCTACAATTACGATCGGCTCGGAGAACATAAAGCGCTTAGAGACAGACCTCTGGAGAAAGCTTAGAATATAACGAAAAGAACGATACCTAACTCGATCCAGTTCAATCCGATTCAGTCAGTCATAGAGCCTTCGCCGTAAACGATGTTCGTGCATCAAAAAATTGACGCGTGACACTACACAAAGTGTGTCGTGCGTCGATTTTTCGACGAGTGACGCTCGGAGGGTTATAGCCTATCTATTAAGTTATAAAATTAAACTAATCATAACCTTACCTAACCAACCAAACTTACTGATGGTGAAAAAATCGCATGAAGGTTTACTAATCGAATCGATAGTTTCAATCGATATTAGCATAAGTTAGCCCAGTTAAGAAACTGTACCCCTGTTCTAAACTTAACCTAACCTTAACTAAACTGCAGTAAGTTATGTGAGTAAAAACCCAAGTGCAGCCAATTCTGTAAAACTGGATTAGGCTAGAAAAAATAAGCCTGCCTCAGCTGTTTAATTTTAATAATAAAACAAAGTGATTCATAACTTAACTCACTCTTTGTGATTAGGCCTAAGTTTATTGGTCTTGATTATTTTTCTTGTCTTTGCTAACAGTTAGGCGTAGCAAAACTGCTAAGTAACCTAGGTACTTACTTAGGTAGGCTTACTACATAAGTTAGTTAATAGCAAAACTGCTAATTTAGTTAAGCTTAGTGGCATTTTTACATGACCATGTCCTTAAACGTTGAGTAAAGCGGTCCAAACCCAAATTTAAGTTATGTGTTTGTATTGTATTGGGATGTGAAAGGAATCAAACCGACCCTTCCGCATCAAAGTCTGAGACACTAACTGAATAGGCCTAAGTATCCTAACTGTAAACATGTTTAGCCTTCTGTCGGTCGCACCTAATCTATTAGATAGGCCTACCGCAACATTAAAAATGTCTGCCATTTTTGTGTTCTCCCTCCAAAACCGGTCTTGGCCAGTGTGCTGTTTCATCCCCTCCTCCCACACTTAGTAGGCTATCGCTGTTAGCGTCGTCCCGTGCACACATGCATTGTTTTGCTCCGTTGTATCTGATAGCAGTGTGACCGGTCCCGTTTTTATTTTGTGATATGAGCCTATCTCAAAATAAAAACGGGACCGGTCTCGTTTTTTTTGTGATAATATCTCTGTTTTAACATACAAAAATAAAGTAATTAATTCCATTAAATAGAAATACCTAGGCCTAAATAAAACTGTTTAAGCCCACCAAAGAAAATGTTGAGTTTAATTTTACATTCAGAGCGGATCTGGTTGAATTTTACACGGGGGGGGGGGGGGGGGGGTGGGGTGGACATGTATTTAATGGATACAGGAATGTGTATGGTCTAACAACTTTTTTTTACTAGGCTAATTGGGAAATGCTTAGACGATGTCAAATATTTATGAAATCTATAGGTCAAGAGTTGTTGAATATAGTAGTAAAAACAATTTTTAATAAAAAATTTATCTGAGAGATATAGTGCGCGCGTCCGGTGGCGTTATGAAATAGGCGCCACTGACCTGGAGGGTTAACTTATTTAAACAAAGTTCTTAATTTATAGCGCCAATCATATTAACACGGACATTATAGACACAGAGGGGGAGAAATTTCAGATGTATTAATCTTACTTAAAGAGTTCAAAGACATAATTACTGGAACAGTAACCTGGAACAGCAACCTGGAACAGTACAAACATTCAAAGCTAAGTTAAGAGTAGGCCTATCGGTGGCTGATAGGCCTAAATGTTCGATTTCCAATACACTAACCGAGACCTTTTCCGTTCACATTACACAGTGCAACTAGCAAGGAACTAGATCATTGAGTGTCTCCAAGGGTCTAAGAACCTAGGTGGATCCGGCTACTACTCCGATCGTTTGTGCTTCTCGTTTTAGTGGTTGTACCGAAGTCTAATTGTGAGGTGTGCAGATTTCAAGGTAGCCTATCAATCAACCCTCATTTAATCAATGACAAATACTGCATCCCTTCCTTCGCTTGAAGAAACTTTACAAAAGTAAATTGTTCAAAATTCTTTTCAGTAGACCTAACTAATTTGAATAATCCGAATCTATAGATACAAGTGGACAAAGAAGCAAAAAAAATCTAGCGATAGTGACACAAAGGATATTTTAGCTTAAATAGATTACATTTTGATAAGACAGCATCTAAGATATTTCAAAAGCTGATGGACCAGTTATTAGTTGGTACCGATTTTGCTTGGTATTTTGAAGATGTGTGTGTGGATGATAAAAATGGCTCAAAACAGTTCTTGTATTAAGGAGAGCAGGACTATGCACTCGTGAAGATATATTACAGATTTTCAAAGAAAGTGTGACCTATCTCAAACACAAATTTAGTGCTCTTGCAATTCAGCCTGTTGAAGATCGTGCAGAAGCTATCAAGAAACAACCCTTACCAAAAGAACGTTTTTGAGCTTTGATAATTTCTTGGATCTTACTATTCAAGGTTCATTCCGAATTTGCTGTCTCTTTTTGTATTTCTTTACACAGATTTTTGCACAAAAACTCAACTTGGGCCTGGAATAGTGACTGTGAGAACACATTCAACCATATTAAGATTAACATTTCAAACAATATGGTGCTTGTACTTGTACATTATGATCCTAAACCTACCTAAACGTCACTTAATCCTTGCAACAGATGCTTGCAATATAGGATTAGGAGCTGTTATCCTTCATCGTTGTCCTGATGGCAGTCAGAAACCAATTGCAGCTGCTTCAAGAACGTTAAATTCAGCAGAACAGAACTATTCTTCGATAGATAAAGAGGCACTCGCCATTATTTTTGGTGTTGAGAAACTCCACTAATATCTCTATGGCAGGCATTTCACTCTTTTGTGTGATCATAAACCACATGAACTATGAACTAATCTTTGGGGCAAAGCAGCCTATACACATGCCGCTTCCAGACTTCCAAGATGAGCTATTATCCTCAGTGGATCATTGACAACGATATAAACTACAGAGCTAGAAAAGAAAATGTTCTATAGCAGATTGTCTGAGTAGATAACATTTAGAAGGAGGAACAAATATTGATTCTTATAACTTTAAACTTCACAACAACTCGACCATTTAATTCATTTGTTTTGTTTAATTTAAATGGAACTATAGGACCCATGCTGCTCCACGTTATATAAATATCATATACAAGAAATAATCACATTTATGATTTTGGATTGAGTAATACAGTATCTTGAACTTAACTGATTCAAACGGCCAATAGCTCAAAGTAAAGCCTATAATTTACTGATTATTTTGAGTCTAAAACATGTAAAAAAAAAGAAAAAAAAATACTGGAGCAATTGACTTTTTATCACAGAAAAACCTTACATAAAATAACTTTTATGTTGGTGGTTCACCTTGCTTTGCTTGAAACTTGTCCGATTTGAATAACTAATACTGTAGCTTAAATGAAAGCCGGTAAATCAAAGGTTCTTAGACCAAAATGAAAATATATAGGATTACATAATTTTATAACTGGTGAAATACATCTTAAATTGAAGTAAGAATTCAAAAATAAATCAAATTTATGTTTTTTTTTGGTTGAGTAATACAGTAGATAAATATATGCCGATGCTTGATGTGAAATCTGTGCATACCTTCAATTTAAGACCTCAATCATGAAAATCGGTCAGGTAGAAGAGCCAAACAAACTCGGAAAAGAAAAACCAAATTTTACTTCCATAAATACATGGGGAGTAAATTTTGTTTACATATAAGCTGAGTGGGACTGTAGATAAATATATGCCGATGCTTGATGTGAAATCTGTGCATGCACAACTTCAATTTGAGACCTCATTCATGAAAATCGATCGCGTAGAAGAGCTAAATGAACTCGGAAAAGAAAAACCAAAATCTTTTAAATATATAAGATAACGTTACAAACGTGGAATTTACGGAGTGACCAACTTTTTAGTTGTTACTATATTTTCAATTATTTAAATATTAAATTGTTTTATTTGCTCTGGGCATTACATTGTTTTATATGTTACAGATAAAGTAAGGTACCGGTAGGCTAAATCTCAAAATCGATCAATACAAATTTTACAATCGATCCTTAATTGGATGATGCACGAGGTAGTAAACGAGAAAACATAATTTACTTTACTTTTGTAAAACTATCCTACGCCAAAGGCTGACATAATAAACTCCCTATGTCACAGGGCAAAACAGAGTTCAGCGATATATAAGTACCTTATTACGTCGAAGGCTCCCTCAAGAGCTCCGTCACTGTCATCAATTGGATGACAATGAAGCCTAAAGAACATTAAATAAATTTCTCTAAATTATTTATGTTACAGGGTGTCTCAGGTCTGGGCAAACCCACGATCTTATTTTAAAATATAAACAACAACAAAGCAGAAGTCACAATACCAGCTGTCAATCAATTTTGACCTTGAACCGCCATAGTTCCATTTGAGTTGATTATAAAGGACAAAAAACAATTATTTTCAGCGGATATATATAATAATGGAATATTTATCAGAGACATAGGTACTTCATGTTTAATGGATTTGAAAAATATTATCTAATGTGTTACTTGGCTCCTGTGTAATGGCTAAGGTAGTGGATCGATATTGAGTAGAACACAAAGTTGAATCGTGTGACTCAGGACGCGTTACCTGTTCTTTGTTCTTTGCTGATGTTCTTTGCTCCATGTCCACTCTTGACATTCCTTTCAGTACAAAACAGTTTTTTAATCGTGTATGAGACCCAAGCCAAATTCCAAATTTAAGATACATTGCTGAAAGTAATTTTTATCTTTGTTTCAGTCTGGGATGGTCAGTCTGTGCATTTGCTCATTAAAGAATACAAAGAACACAAGAATCTTTTCGACATTCCGGATATAAAAAGACGAAAGATATGGAATAAAGTTGCTGATAAACTTCAAACCCTCGGGTACAATTGCAGTGGAGAGCAGTGTGAGAAAAAGTGGAGAAATTTGAAAACCTACTTCTCAGTCAACCAGGGCAAGGAAAACATAACTTGGCCTTTTCACGAAGCAATGAGGGATGCACTTTGTGGTGGGCAAAGTTCTCTGAAAAGGAATGGGCAAAAAACGCCCATTGAATATGTTGCCGAAAATCCAGAAGAACAGTATTATGATGAGCAGTTTGAAAATGATACTGCTCCGCCTGCCTGGTTTTCTGACTTCCTTTCCCAGTTTCGCGAAGATGAAAAACAGAAAATGGAAATGCTAAAAGAAATGCATGAAGATATTATAAATCTTGAAAAGAAAAAATGTAATTTGCTTGAATCGTTGATTGACAAACTTACGTGATTCTTATTTTGGCACTGGCCCACATGAAAATCTCACAAGTTTTTAAAAGTAACCAATTAAAGATTAAAAGTGGATTTTTGTTTGTAGAAGTCCCCAATAAGATTATATACCCCTCCAAAAAAACCAAGGTTTCAAAAGGACTTGGGACTTTTCCTCATACGCTTAACTAATTTTTTCTAAGATTTGTTTTTGTGTAGATAAGGAATAAGCATTTGAACTTTGAATGTCATGAAGTACTAAACATTGCAACCATTAAATGATATATTTTTAAAGTTCATAGGATATATTATTTACTAACCTGCATGTCCTTCCATTATTTTTAATTGTTTTACAGTATAAGAAGCTGATTAGAATGGCATCTTGCCATGCACTACTATTCCAATATTGGTAGTTTAGTACCGGTACATACTTCTTTATGATGGTGGACAATTCCATTCAACCCCTGATTGTAAAAAATATCTTCTTCGCAATTTAAATTCCATTATCTATATTCTTGAAGGGATCATTAGTATTGCCATGTAATATTGTAAGAATAAAAAGTTAAATTGAAAAATCAAATGAATTTAAATCTATATCTTACAAACATATTTTTAGTTATCCAAACACCCAGTTTTGTGGCAGGATTGACAGGAAATAAAAAAAAACGGGGTTGCTTGGTTGCTCATTCGAGGTGCAGTTCATAGAACAAGCCAATTCCGTCAACTTGATCCTGAAGTCTCCCATAAGCTTTGCCCAGTTGACCTCTTCATAAGTTTCACTAGACTTGTAAATCCTGTATGTTATGTGTCAATTAATGCCATTCATTCAACCTGGCCTAGGTGGGATTTGAAGTACCTAATAGTCGGTTATTTAGCCATTAATTACATCATGCTATCGCTATGCCAACATCAAATTTGCAAAGTTATGATCTTGCAAACAAATACAAATTGACATAAAAGAAATAATTGACCAGAAAAGTGAATATTTGCTTGTAATGATGGCTATTGATTATAAATTTCGTTTTTCCAATGTTTAGTAGTAAAAAACCCCAATTTTTGGTTTGGGTAAAAAACATGTTCAATGACTAAAAAATTCTTCCTGTGACCATAGAGAAATAGAATAATATATACAGTCAAAGGAATGTTACGCGATGTGCCGCTAGAGCCGGTACAGTACAAAGGTGAACTGTACTGAAAAAAAGTTTACGGCAGTGATCAGGATCCAAACCCACGACAACGCTGCCTCGGGCCTGAAGTCTGTGACGCCACCGACTCGCCTAAACTCACTGTGGTTTTTGCTTGCTTCAATATTTGTTTATTCAAAAGTTTCTTTTCTAAAAAAAGGTGTTAACGATTTACTTTACTTACTTGCTGCCGTGGTTCATGGTACCCAAGGAGGTACTGCCTCGCCAACACACTGCCTCCAGATTCCTCTATCCATTGCTTCCTCCTCTCTTCTTCCTCTCTTCTTGCATTCATTCTCATTCATTCTTCTCAGGTCTCTTCTCACTTGATCTCTCCACCTGAACTTTGGCCTTCCAGGAGGTCTTCTACCCTCGGGGTTGTTGGTTAGGGTGTTGAGCGATGGGAACGAGCTTATCTTCAAAGTTAACTAGCATTTGACATAAAACCACATTAGGACAGGACGACGTTTGTCGGGCCAGCTTGAAGTTCTAAAGTTGGTCTCTTGTTTATATAAAAAAATATATATAACTTAGATAGATGATTTCTTAGTTAGCCACTCCTGTTTAAACTATAAATTTAATCTTTTTAGTCTCCTCATGTTAATCTATAGACCTCGTTTTAATCCATTAATTATTGTTATTTTTTGCATCTAGAATGAAAAATGTAACACACAATTGAGGTGGAATGTATGAGCACTTTTACAGTTACTCTATTACAGTATTTAAATAAATCTTAGGGCGAATGTCAAAATGTCAGCAGAAAACATTAAACAATATCAAGTTTAAAACCTTAACTATTTAAAATTTAATTTGTAATAGGGATCCACTATCACTTACCATAATTAAGAGGGTAGCAGGGCATCTGAATATCTAAGATGTATTATTTGTATACTGTAATTAGGACAAATAATAAAGGTTTTCTCTTTAACAACCCTTTTTCGCTTTACTAAGCAGATTTTTACGATCGAGGTGTCATTATAAAGGTTATGGTCTAGTAGGCTACATAGACGGATGGTAAGTAAAAATGTTAATTTCCTTTTGAGGGTTCCCGACAAACTTTCTTTATACTGTAACAGTTTGAAATGCAAATTAATTTAAGAGCTCCAGCTTTTGACAAACTCGTGATCCATATTTATTCGTTATTCGTTTTTCTTGGATATAAGAGTTTTGAACCTTATTAAAATGTGTATTTTACGCCTTGCCCCCCTCAATTAAAATCATTTGCAATTTTTTTTTTAGAAAATCCATATGAAGAATATATACAAGGAATGACAATCGGGAATATTTGGGATCAGGAGATGACGTTCAGCTTGATCGATGAGTACAGAAACCATCTGCAAGACTTCTTGTATCCGAAGGGCCTCTTGATTCGAGACATCTGGATAGCTATAAGTCGCAGCATGCAAGCTCGAGGTTACAACATCACTCCTGCAGCATGTGACAACAAATGGCGACAGCTGAAGAAAACATATAAATACAATGTACCGCAAGCAGGTAAGATTCACAGTCAGTTAAAATATCAGAAAAGAGGCTGCAATCGCAAATTGAAGTTTTAGTATAAGTTATTTAATAAAAAAAAACCATGGTGGAAGGAAAATACATAGGTGTGCTATTCCCGTTATATGCTGACGTCACCCAGATTCCAAACAAAAAAATCACCTGATAACAATCAAATCAAAACAAACTTATATGGCAATACACCATATAAGTTTGTTTTGATTTGATTGTTATTGTTTTGATAATTTTTCTAATTGGTAAAATTGTGTTTGCAATCTGATTGACGTCAGCATATGATGGGAATAGCGCACCTATGTGTTTTCCTTCCACCATTAAAAAAAATAAATAAAAAATTAAGTTAATGCATTTACACTGTTCTTTTACTTACACACTATCTGAGGAGCTAGCGTAGAATAAGATTGCAAATTAAAGGAACCTTTGAACAGGTGTAATTTTTGACTCTAAGGTTGTCCATTTGTTCGGTTGTCTGTTTGAGTTCAAGTTCGGGGCATTGTATTTTACTACAGACTTTAATTTGATGTGCATATCAACCTATGGTTACATTAAAGAACCGTAGCGGGCCTTCCCTCTATGTGGGCTGCGCATCACTGAATAATGTTTTAAAATTATGTTAATGCCCAGTAACCTTGTATTACGTTTTGAAGCACTACTGTATCCTTAATATATTTTTTAAATATTTAACTGTCCTGGGATTTTTTCACCCAGTAACTTATGTGGATAATCCAATTATATGTAAATAAATATAGATAAATTTCAAAATTATTACAAATCTTTAAAATTAATTGAAAATGTCCTGTTGAAAACCAATCATTTAATCGCTGGTCTGTTCTTCATCCTCTTGAAACATGCCGCGCCTAACTTTACACCCTTGTAGCTCAGGGCCAACTGACGCTATGATGGTCAAAACACTGCCATTTTTTTTGGAAAGGTAGTTGGGGAAGGTAGATGGTGCGTCATGTCATTCTCTTGCTGATTCACTTATTTCGGGGCGCTTTTTCAAATGTGTGGCGCGAGTACTAGAGGGTTAATTCAAAGCACTTGGCCTCAGAGAAAAATCACAAGTCCACTCAAAGAGCAGTCTTTGCTCAATATTTATCCAAATGTTCATTAATAACCTGTCTGCACTATGTTAAAGGATTATTCTGTGTATTATGGCAATCCTCAGAGCTGCTTCTGAGATTAATAAGTTCAAACACACAAATAGAGTATATACAAACATTCATACTAACCCTAAGTTTCAACAAGTTTATTTAATTGTGAATGACTAACAGAATCCATCCTCGGCTTCTTGAACACTAAGAGAGGCTTGGATTGTTTCATTTTTCAGGGTTATAATCTTCCTTAATCTATGTAATAAAACAAACAAGATCAAAATATTGGGTTTGTTATAATGTGTGTAATGATTCAGTTTCTTCCAACAGGTCGAAAGAATAAATCAAAATGGTTATACTTTGAGGCTCTGGACGACATTCTTGGTAACAAGATGATAGCAAAAAGAATTGTCTGGAAACAACGGTCAACAATAAAGAAAGAGATACCGGAACCAGGCTCACCCCAAAGTGATTTCCAAGAAGAATACTTACCTCCATCCAAAAAAGTAGTGCAAGTGCAACCGAAATGGTTCAAAGAGTTTCTAACTCAGTACCAGGAAGAGGAAGTAAAGAAAAGGAATACATTACAAAAGATGCAAGATGATCTAGTCGCTCTGGAAAAACAAAAGTGTATTTTATTGGAAAAGCTGTTCAAGAAGATTTCCAAGGCTGCGCCTTCTCCTAAGATAGTCGAAGCTGTAACTCTTAGCCAAGAAATGTTTGAAGATGAACTGTAGCACTGTAAGTTGTGTGTATACCTGTACCTTTGTCCTTGTGTTCTTTAAGTTTTACTAAGGTTGATCAATTTGATTGAATATTTATAATAGTTTTTATTCAGAAATATAAACAGGTTTGTATTTTCTGAAATATATTTTTGTGTAGGATATCATTCACTACAAAGATACACTATCTTGCTTTTATCTTTTCAACTTCCAGATTTAATTATTGTTCATCATAGTGTGTCATTCGAATCAATAAATTATATTAATTAAATGTTTATAAGTAATTTTGAATTATTTCCCCTGTGTTCACACCAAATTAAACAAAAGCAACAAAAATCTAAGAATACTAGTTATTTTTTTAAAACATTCTGTTGATTTCAACATCTATTAGAGTTTACAACATTTGAGTATACTGGTGGAATCAAAACCGACACCCTCCAACCAAAGTCTGAGACAACAACAACAAACCCAGCGACACATCAAAATATTGTATTTTTATATTAATATTCACATTTATAATATTAGTAAGATGACTTAATTACTTTAGTAGTCTGGCAGTAATAATTATTCCCTCTAGTCAGATTCACATTTCAAATCCCACTCATCTTAGCCAAGTAAAGCCTTGTACAAACAGACAAGACCATTCTAGTGCTTCAACATTGACATTTTTGTTGTGACTGAGGATATCAAGTGAAGTACTGAAGTTAACAGGAGACAACAGTTAAACTTGAAGTATCCTTCATTTTTTGTCACCAAACTCATAAATATGTGGACCTTTTGTATCCCTTTCAAAAGTAAACATACAAACATGCACACTTAGATTACATTGTTTCTTCTTGCTAAGGAGAAGGAGATGTAACTGCTCGTCCGCCTACAATCTACATCGACATCATATTGACAAAAAGACGTCTACATTATTGTCGCACCTGCTGTAAACGCAGCAGGTGATGGCTGCAGGCGCAAGTGGTAGCAATTCATGTGGTCATCTCGAGTTGCTGGAGCACGTCTGTGTCTGTGTCCCTTGAGTCATTAACATCACTAGCAAGCACATTTAGTGTGTGGTTATAACGTTTTGATTTTAGTTGGTTAAGTTGTTTGATTGGATAAGTAAAGGTTACCAAAACTTACAAACTCCTAATGGTTTGTTATTTCTCTTTTTGATGGGAGACAACTTCCCATTTTTAAATGCCCATCAATGTTTCATTACCAAAGGCAAAACATAATTCTATTATGTAAAGTTGAAGTAAAATTCATGATATTTGTGGGCCCTAAACCCTAAATGGTCAGGGAGTGCGGGTGAAGCTCGGCCCTACCTGCGAGGGACCAAACTCCAATCCTAATCCCTTGCGTCTGCTGTGCGTGTGAAGTCTGCATGTGTGTGCGTAGAACCGACCCTTCGGCCAGCCGCACTCCCTGAGAAAACAGGGTATGTAGAGAGTAGTAGAACATCAATCGCAATGGGATATCAACTTCAGAATATTAAGTCATCGCTCAATTTAAGCCTTTTGTTATGTTCTTGATTGCTACTGGAGAAATATCAAGACAGTAACTTTGGAAAAAAGAAACTTTGCTCAAGTTGAATTAACAAACTGTGAGGATGGGGTTAACTTCATTGGTGGGGGAGATAGGTGACATACAAAGATCAACTTAAGTCACATAGCTGAGGAAGGCACCAAACTTTACATCGGGAACCTCTGCATACAAGATGATGTTTGGCAGAGACATCAGAACTAAACTAAGTCATGTCAGATAAAAATGTACATTGGATTGATATGGACCAGTCAAACTGACCAGATCATTCTTAAAGATTAAGAGAGTCGTCTTATATTCAACTTAGTAGCAATTCATAATTTATTCTATTGCCCTATCTTTTAGTATCAGGTGATTGGAATTATTTATTGTGTTGTTGTATAATTTTATGTTTTGTGTTTGCACTTTTTACAATGTTCAGATATATTTCTATTCTATAAAGATTTAAGTTTATTGAATTAAGATAGGCCTACAACAATTTAAAAAATCTAAAGTAATGTTATGATGTGATAGGTTTGAAGTACCTAAGTTTTATTCCTATTTCTTCAAGTTTTGGTTTCAAGATTTGAAATTTATGGTTTCTGGGCCTACACTACTTGCTACTTAGAATACAAATCCATATAAAGACTTCTGGGAACTAAAACATCTTAACTTTATCTCAACTACAATTAAGTAGTGATACAGGTAATTACTGTACTTTTCTTACTCTCATTTTACGTTCTTATTAATTTATATTTCTCAACTTCTCCATGCTGGCAACAAAACTTCTTCAAAATGTTTAACTTACACAAAATACAACTTCCAACCAAATACTTCTCGACAACAAGTAATCTACCGGTACTTTAGGTATCAGTATATTTACCTTAAATAAACAGACAATTCAATGTGGGGGTGATGAAACTTAGGCAAGTTCTTCTAAAGTTGGAACCAGAGGATAGTGTAAAAAATGACTCTTTTTAATTTCTGACACGGATTATTATTGGCATTAAAAATTAGTAGTATACAAATTATTACATTATTACAATATACATGGTATATCAAGTATCAGCTTAACTTACCTCAGTAGAAGTAAAATTAAGGAAATAAGTAGGTATCTACATACAGCAACCTGTTGACTCTTTTTTATTTAGGCTATAATTTTTTTTGTGTGTGAGAATGAATTTTGCATTTTTAACGCTGTTAAGGAACGGTTCAAACACTGATTTTGTTACCATCTAACATCAACCTATTTTTAGATAGCATCATTAATAGATAGTCCAATAACAAATAAATGGCATCTCTGTCTGGAAACAATGTCGCTTGGAATCAAACCAGCGACCTTAAGATTTGAAGGCGAGCACTACAACCCAAATAGGCTTTCAAATGCATTTATTAAATAGAATAATGTAATGGTACATTTTGGCCTTTTGGTGCTGTGCAAAAAAAGGTGAACATTTTTGAGCTAGGTACTTTTTGAATTTACATAAATAATACAATTAAATCTGGTAAGGTTGTATATCCTTAGGCAGTGTTTAACTGATGGTGGTTTTAAAAATGATTAACGAGATAGTTAAATCGACAAGCGGGCGAAAAGAAAGGGATTTTGTTACATACCATACTGAATACCGGTAGGCCTAACGTGCATTTTACAGTAATTTAGGGCATACTAACTAAGTTTACTTAGTACCGTAATGGATCCTAAATTAATCAACCAAAAACACTTAATATTGATAGGTACTTATAATGGTTGTAAAACATTGAGATCACTTTGGTAGCCTATATCAGTTTTTGAGGTCGGGTACAGTTTCTTAACTGGGCTATGCTAATATTGATTGAAACTATCGAATTGAAAGTATTGATTAATAATCGATATTTTTTTAAATATATCTATTTTAAAATAAAACTATCATAACCTAACCTAACCAACCTAACTTGCTGATGGTGAAAAAATCGCATGAAGGTTTACTAATCGAATCGATAGTTTCAATCAATATTAGCATAGCCCAGTTAAGAAACTGTACCCTTGAGGTCAACAAAACTGCAATATACAATTTAGGGACCTTTACTGTTAATTCACTAGAGTGGAATTTGGTTAGGTTAGGTTAAGGTTTTCTAAGTCTGTACTAAACTTGATACTAACCTAACCTAACCAAAGTTCAATTCACTAGGCCTACCACTTCAATCGCTAATGATCTATTGCTCTAAAAACTAGTGGTAGTGAATTAACGGAAAAGGTCCATTTATTCAAATATTTCTTTTTTTTAGGTAACTGTTAAACCATTTTCAAACTAATGTTATGCAGGTCTGCTTTAACACAGACTCTGGATTTTTAAGATTTCACAAACATTTTTATGGAATAGGTTTTAATTCTTCAAAAAAATTAATTGTTTGAAAAGGTTCTACAAGTAACTACTTATACAAACTAAAATGTATCATCATAAATTCACTATTACGACAGCTGAATCTTAATCCTCAGAGCAAAAATAAAGATCTCCCAGCATGCCGGTAACTTAAGCTATACAACTCAATTTTATGGTAAGTTGATATTTTTCTTTTTACTGATTGACTTGGCCATTTTATAGAGTTTACTTCCACTATACCTAACTGATTTGTACAAACCTGCTGTAAATATCCCTTTCAAACTCTGGGTTATGCTAGAAGTCCATACAATATTGCTTAGGCACATTCTTAAAATTTCACCACAGTCTGGATCATGAGCTACTGCTCGCAAAACATCTTCAGTGTCTTGTCTTTTTCCACCTGCTTGTTTGTTCCAAAACCGTACAATCGCTCGTTGAGGAGTTCTTGGGAGCTGGTTCAGATGGTGTAGTTTTGCTGATGGAAATGTATCTTGACTACAGTTCACATCACATCCACGATCAAGTGGAACGTCAACAAAGTCATGCAGAGTTTTGATAACAGGAGCATACAAAACTCGAAAAGATTCTATTTGTGGGTCAACGATGTTGCTTACTTTGTCTTTGTCTTCTCCTATTATCATTCGGAAATCACCGGTGTAAGACAAGGATGTGATGGTTTTGTACAATGCTCGCTCTGTGAAGTTTTCAGGTAGTATAATTAATGCAGCATGTAAAGCATTGTGCAAATTCAACTGAAGAGCTGACCGCAGTTCTGAGTTGCTTGTTTGTTGAAGTGTTTCTACTGGCTTATGAAGTCTTCCTGACAAATATATATGATTCCAGTCTAATAGGTCTGTTACAAGATCAGTTCTAGATACAACACCGTACTTTATTGTAACATCTTCAAATGGTATTAAGGTATTAAAATAAACATTTGCTCCCCACCGCTCTTGCAAAGTTGAAATAAATCCTGGTCCTAAATACCTAAGTCCTGAGTAGTGGGTAGGGTTCATGAGAATATTTTCTGAGTGAAACTTTAAAGCGTCCTCAACAACAAAAACCATGTCAATCATAGGCTTTGATGTTTTTACACCATCCTGTTTGAAAACTCCAGAACCATAAGCAAAAGAGTAGGTAAAATTTTGAGAGGGTAAAGATGACAAAATTCTTGAAAACAAAGGAGATATGCCTACTAAAGATGAAAGAGTCTTGGTCGTTACAGACATATTCAACGAATTATATATATGGACCTAAATTATATGTCGATTAATCAGTTTACCTACACTTTTTCCACACTTTTAAGCTTAACCTCAAATCCCAAACAAACATTGACTATTGACATTTTGATTGCTTGCTTGCAGAAGAGAGCACAGGGCACAGAGCAAGTGCATATTAAAACCCCAGAACGACTGACAAACAGCTGATCTGTCGCTTAAGACTAAATACAGGTAGGTAGCTTGAAACACCACTTGTAGAATGGGTCTGACTTAGGGGAGGTACGAATGAGGCATTTAGTTCAAAATTCCTCCGTGAACAGCGCTGTAGTAGAGAGCACTTTGGCAATGAAGGTTTACTAATCGCAAAAATAGTTCTGTTCATAAAATAAAATTTTAAATGTATCAAATTCAATTTTATTATTTTTTAATTATAAAATTGAACTATCATAACCTAACCGAACTAACCAAAATTGCTGATAAAGAAATAATATAACAAAAGTTTAGTAATCGGAAAAATAATTCTGTTTATTAAATAAAACTAGAATTTGCTCAATTAAAATGTTGTAATGACTTAATAATAAAATTAAACTGTAATAACCGAACCAAACCAACCAAACTTGCTGATAATAAAAAAATCTTGGACAAAAAGTTAATGGTACCAGCAGGATTCGAACCCGGGACCGACAGTGTATTAGACCGGCACGCTAACCATTAGACCACCGAGGCCGATGGCTACCGACCGTTTTGTTACGTTAATGGCGTTCCCTCAGCTAATAAGAAGCCCACAGCTGTCATCGTAGCCTCTTCTATACCTCCCCTGAGTAAATACCCTTGTAGAATTATTGATCCACTAACGCACCATTGATTATAGAACATTTTAGATTCAATAACATAACATCGATCACTAACTAGATATCCCTTTAAGTGTTTGAATGATGTTGCGTACATTTACTAAGTAAAGCAACTATATTAAGTGGTTTAAAACTTCATTATTTTTTTTACATGGGGTTGCAGTTAACACGTTGGGTGCTGATGACGGGAATTCCCGCAATTTCTCAACATTGAAATAAATGCAACTTTTATGTTCAAACATGTCGACAGCACAAATAGTGTTAAGGTCACTGTGCTTCGTTCTTAAAATGAATGAGCGATTAGCTCTTTTATCCTACTTCTTAATTACAGATATTAGAACAGAAATGGTATGTAACATAAAATCAGTGTTGGGAAGTAGCGCGCTACAAGTAGCGACGCTACAGTAGCGCGCTACTTTTTTTGTAGCGTTAGCTGTAGCTACGCTACTTTTAAGATTTTGTAGCTTTAGCTGTAGCTAGCTACATTTTTAAAGTAGTTGTAGCGGAATTTTAGCTACTTTTCTCGCTACATTAACATTTGTTTGAGATAGTTATTTTTATCATAACCTCAACCTTACGTGAAACAACCTCTTTCAAACTGAGATTTTCAAAAAAATTAGGCCTACTTTCTTGGCTTTAAACAGCTGGTTGCAGCCGTTTCATTCCCTATTACAACGTTGTGTGGACATGGAGGCCATTAAATGAGTGTTATCCACATTTTTGGCTCTCATTTCCTTAATTTACTACTCTATGATTACTGTCAGATAAAATAAAATCGCTAGAGGCAGACGACGTTTAAACGGTACCGGTGACAAGAGAAGCTATTGAATTGAATGCTTGCAAGTGATTGACAGGACAGGGGAATTAGTAATCAATTTAGTTTCTTTATTATATCGATAATGCTTCAACTTGGGGTTTAATGGAAACCAACACACCTTGAAGTAATGAGAAAGCTGGTCTATCAACCTTTGCTTCAGCTGTTGATTGTGGTTTATCATCACAAGCCCTTTCTTGGTTAGATTACGAAGATTTTTCAAAGGTTTACTAAATTAGCAAAGAGGAAATTACCTGATGAGATTTAAGATATGCCTAGACTACATGATAATTGTAATGAAAAAATCTCCATATAACATGAAACTTACATTGAAAAAATAGCATAGTTTGCTCCTGCTAACAGCTCTTGTTTAGGACTGAGGCTATGGTTTAAGACGAATACCAAGTTCAATTATTATGAATATATCTGTTTAGTCCTTGCAAGAACAAGCCTACTATAGCCAACTTGTTACATAGCCAAGTAGGCCTACATGTTATTTTTACTTTACAAATTTCATCATGCTTTAATTAAAAGCCGATTTCAGGATAAGTTGCTGAATACTGTTTTCTCTACCAACTAGGTTGAAGCACAATTTGCCCTATGCATAATGACAATAAAGGATGATTTCTTGACATTGAAAAGTGTTATTCGTAGAATAAGTAATTTATCACTTTAAAAAATATAGCAATGTTGTTTTTAACATTAAAAGTAAAGAAAGGCAATAAACTCCAATTTCGGTAGGCTAGGCTGTGTAACACAAAAAGTATTTTTAAATAATCTTTTTGCAGTTTTATTGGTCTTAATTGTTGATATAAAACATCTATAAATGAATCTATATTAAATTAATAAAATTAGCTTTTAAAATATAGTTTGGTTGTATGTCCTTAGAACTTAATGAAAATTACATTTTAAGATGCTTAAAAATAATGCAATATTTAAAAATAATTACTAAATATGATGGGACACCCAACTATTTGGTTCTGTTGTTGTAATGTTAGGTTTATAATGCCAACAAATTAAATACAATCTAGGAATAATTTGTTTTCCAAGTAATGTTAGATACAATACTGACATTTTTTTAAATGTTTGTTCAATAAAAATGTAGTTGCAATTAATTTTACATTTACCTAATTTGCGTGGAATAAAAATTAACGTCTTTGGAAAAGTAGCTAAAATTGTAGCTGTAGCTACATTTCATTGTAGTTGTAGTTGTAGCTAGCTACTTTTTCGGAACTGTAGCTGTAGCTGTAGCTAAGCTACTTTTTTGGAAATGTAGCAGTACTTGTAGCTAGCTACATTTTAAAAGTAGCTTCCCCAACACTGCATAAAATAAACAAATGATGTCACTAGCATCTAACCTCATACAAACAAAATTACAGTACAATGGTTTGAATGATTTTTTTATAGTTCCATTTAAATCATAGGCTAATCGCGGCCGTGGATTAATGCAAAGGTCAGATCGGGTCAGATACGTTATTTAATTCGTCTATGTTTATGATCAATACAGTATCTTTTTCAAGTTTTGTTGCTGTTAAAAATCTTGTTATGTGTATTATCTAAATCCAATCAACACAAGTAGACTTCCCATTCCATTGTACATTTTGAAGCTATCGTTTTTGTGTCTAGTTCGTGTCTGGTGACACTGTTCACTAGTGTTACCAAAATTGTGTTTATATTATTTTCAAGTTATTTTCATGAGTTGTGCTTCACTAAGATTAACAACAATAAATGCATTAGCCGTCACAAAAAAATAGAGCACGTCAGCCTCTATTACAAATACAAAAATATATAAAAAAAACTCCTTGACGCTGTAACATGAGGAATTAATGAGATGATTCTTTAAGCGTTACCTAAACTCTAACTGGTTTGATACCAACTTAAGGGACTGGGATAGGTTATTGTTTAAATCAATGCCATTTATAGAGTGTATGCTTTAAGGAGGTTGCATATTTTGGAACAGGTAAATGGTGTGAATTTCGCAGAGGGAATGAACAGGCTAAAGATTGATCTGATACTAAAAATAAAGACAAATTCTGTTTGGTAAAAGATAATGTTTGCAGGATATATAAACTGGGAAAAGTTAAAATTAATATTTTGCTAAAGGATCTACTAAGGGAGTATGTTTGATATATATATACGATTTAATCTATATGGTATTATTTTAGTTTTGTGATAATTTTTTTGTTTTAGCGAATTTCCCATATAGGGAATAAGCTATTACCGTAGTACTCATGGTAAGACCTGGACCCGGGACCGATTTTTTTTCGTTTTGAGGTCCCTAGAGGCCAAAAACACCATCCGTTCAAATTCATATATATATATATTTATATATATATGTGTCCGTTAGCGCGATAACTCGAGCAAAAATGATCCGATTTTAATTAAATTTGGTACAAACGTGTAAACCTACATTTATTCGAACGAGTTCGCGAACCAGCATGATCGGACCATGGGAACGGGGGTTTATGGGGGGTTTTATGGGGTAAAAATGGGTTTTTCCCATTTTTTACCCAAAAAACATCAAATTTTGCAATTTCTTTCTAAACTATTTTGTAGAGCCTAAAAAAACAAATAATTTAGTATATTGAAGCGTTATAATGCGCCTAATGGTTACGGAGAAAATTCCAAAAAATTGCAAATTTAAAATTCCCATGTTATTCTTATGGAGAATAAGTAAACTGTTGTAGTTTGCTTGTTTATTAACATATTTTGCCCAAATTTGGAACATGTTTTTATTTCTTACTAACAATTAAAATTTTCATAAAAAAACACTTTTACCCTCCCTGTTGCAGCAAACCTAAGTATGTGTTAAACTGATTCTATTTAAATAGGGATAAATGTGATATTTTTAAGGAGACATTTTAGTGTAAATCCAATCAGGCAAATGAAAATTCGCTTAGTCTGCAGGTTTGCTGCGGCGGGGGTATTTTGGTTAGTACGTGAATCATAGTTATCACCCACAACAAATTATTATGTGTATTTGTAGCAGTGTTCCATTAGTTTTATCTTAAAAATAAACATTTTTAATTATGTAAAAGAAAGAAAGCTATTTGCTTCATGATTTTCATTAAAGAATAAGCACAATTTGAAACAATTCAACAACCATACCCAAGACTTACTTGGAATAAGCTTATTATAGAGTTTAATGTTTTAAAGAAGCATAATAGCCAGCAGTGTTGAATTGATTTTTGAATGAAAATTAAATTTTAGTACAATAATTTATAGTACTAACATTATAATCACGTAAGATTTTAATCAATTAGAACGTGTTTGAATTGTAATGCATATTTCCTCAAACAATAGTCGATATAGTGGGTTTGAAATTCCCTAAGCTTACTTTGGGAAAGCTTATTTGATAGTTTTACAGTAGCCCTGAGCGTTTTAACACCTATTTTTTCTTTACATCATATAATTCCTTAACCAATAGCATCTTAGTTGTGTTCATTAAATGCGATATTCTCACGC